CCAAGAGCGGGTCAACCTGCTGTTGACGTACACCGGTAACTTATGGTGTTGTTGCTGACGCCGACGCCGATCATACTGCTGTAGTTGCTTCGAAACCTTCAATATTGGTGGAAGACGTAGAAAACGCGCAGAAGAATTCCACAGGAGGAGTGCATCGCCAAACAATATTACACGACAGAAAAAAATAACACTGCAGAAGCAACGCTAAAATACAGGCCGGGATCAGGCCGACAGTACTAAGCTTCCCACGAGAGGTGCATTCCCCGTTCGGTATGTTGTTTTTCTTCGTATCAAAATCGTGTTAAATTCCTCGCACGCCCGGGGGGGCGGTACTCTATGTAAGTTTTTTTAAAGAACACGTGTATGATCTGCGCTGCCCGCTCCCTCGCTCTCTCGCTGTATGCATGCCCCATATATGGGTGATGTGGACGTTTTGCAGGTGAGAAAAATCGTGGACGACGAGCAAGTGTCTCACGTCGACCCGAACATCATCCAGCAACCAAACATCTCCGCGGAGAAGCTTTCCAGGATGTGGGCTACGGCAAAGGCGAAGTGGAACCAGCCTTATGCCAACTGGAAGAGTGAATCCGGCAACAACCAGCCATGGCTTTCATTTTGTCAAGGTAAGGGATGGGTGGAGTGGGGCTGGGTACAAAATAGCGTCTGTTTACTCGAGGAACCTTGGGCGATTTTGTGGTCGTGGCATAAATTTCGCCCATCCTCCTTCACAGCGTGCAAGTGCTGCTACGGTCGGAGTTTTGATGTTATACTTGGAGTTCTCGACAGTGTTGTAAACCGTGCTCCAGGAATGACGTTGGCATTGAGGCCTGATAATGTATTTTGAAGGACGACCAAAGACCATACCAATTGGTCCAAAAAAACCTCCCGCCCGCGCCTTGCATTTTATTTTTGTTTTACAGGGTGCACGGACACGTATGTTCTCGGTTGCGCAATCGAGAAATACCCCGAGCTGAACCAAGTGTGCAACAATCTCCTCCCCGAGGGCGCTCAGCGAGAGGACGACGGGACCGGAGAGGGTATTGTCTGCACAGGCGGTGCCGACCGCCGGGTTGCCGCCAAGCGGGAGGGCGCCAGGCTCAACGAGCAGAACAGGCGGGGAAAAAAGCCAAAAAATAAGGGGGTGGGGCAAAGCGTGGCAGAGGCTACGTCCGCTGCCATGAAAACCGCACTCAAAGATATTGAGCCACTGCTGGAAAAGGTTGGCGGATCAGAAAAATCAGAGTGGTACCAAAAGAAAGAGGAACACGCTTGCAAGACTGCTGAACACGACAGCAAGGCTTCTGGCCTCGCCCTCCAGAAGGAAATGACCGAGTCCCACGCCGAATTCTCGAAGAAAATTGTGGAGGAGGAG